GTCGGCAACCCTCGGCTCGCGAGCCACATGCAGCTCTTTGACCCCTTGAGTGTGGCTCTTCCACAAAATACCACGTGCAGGCGGGCACATACAGTGCGATTGAAACTTCACGTGGCCCATGCGCAGAAGTCGGTGTTTTGTAAAAGAGCCATACTCAAGGGGCCAAAGAGCTGCATGTGGCTCGCGAGCCACAGTTTGCTGACCACGAGGCTAGGCTATCGCTTCACTGTGATGAACACAGCTGAAGAAAGGAGATGTGAACACAAGAACGTTCAGAAATGAGGTGCAGAGGCACAGGGCCTGGCTCTGCAGGTGGCACTGTTACAAGGAGGAGAGAGGAGCTTCTGACTCACATGTTGGGGCCCCCGTATTGCCAAAGGCAGGGAACGTGACCATTCTGACGCCCGATCACAAATGAAAAGCCTCACGTTGTACAGCAGCCCAGCACTGCTTCTTTCTCATCAAGAAACCCATCACTCGGGGTCTAATGAACAAGGCTGCCCTGTCCCTGCAACACGAGGACTCAAGCTCGTGAAACGGCCTGAGTGGGGAGCAGACATTCCATGCGACAGGCCATCAGTGTCACCGCCTCTCGGTCCGACTGGAACCCAGGAAGGCTTCACGGAGGAGGTGGCACCTGAGTTAGACACTGAGGGTAACAGCGAGGATGATAGTAACAGGTGCTAACAGTACTGTCCGCTGTGTGCTGGGCCTTTACACAGGTGACCTCATGCCATCCTCACAGCAACTCTATGCGGCAGGTGCTAACCCTCCAGGTCGCTCTGCTAAGTAAGTTCGGGACTAGGACTCTGGCCTGTGCGCCTTCAGAATGTCCACCGTGCTGTGCCTGAGGGATTAGACATGGGAGTAAGGTGGGGAGGGATGCGCCCTGTGAAGACAGGAGGAGGAGGGGAGATGAGGCTTCGCTGAGAGAGGAGTAAGCCGGCAAGAGGCAGGACATACTGGGTCTCCGCCAGAGCAGTGACGCGATTCAACTACGCTTTCGAGAGATGGTTCTGACAGCTCAGTGTGAGAAGGACTGAAAGGCAGGGAGACCAGGTGGAAACCAAATAGAACGGTGCAGGCCGAAGGCAGGAAGTGGGGACAGAAAGGAGAGGCAGGTGGAGGCACCACAGGGGTAGACTGAGCGCGACTTGGCTGCTGAATGGTGATAGGGGTGGGACTGAAGATATTAAAGACACCACCAGGTTTGAGTGTAGGTGACCAGAAAGGTGGAGGTGGCAGCAGCAAGCTCACATGTGACCAGGATGTATGCAAGCCAGGATTTCTACTTGAATGAAGAGTATCCTAGGACACAGCCATAAACAAAGGGCTACCGAGAAAAAGGAACAGGTTGCGATGGGCTGTCTGCACAGAGAGGACACTCACGCCATCGGCCCAGCGGGGGTGGCACAGCAGGGACCGAGGCTGCATCTGTGACCCAGGAAACGTCCTGGGTCAGAGCCACGTGGTGACCTCCTCAGTGTAACCGCGCCCATGGCCCCTCTCCCGGCTCAAGCCTGACTTCCAGCACAGTCTTGATTCACCGAGTAGAGGAGCAGTGAGAGGTGGATGCTCTAACCAGAGGGGGTCCTTTAAGAGGCCCCTGGGGCCTCAGCCTCCTCATTCTGGGCCCTCCTGCCCTCAAGGGGACGCTTTTTGCCCCCTCTATGACCTGGGATGCTTGCCCTCTCCCTCCCGTCAGGCACAGGGTCACTTCCTTCAGGGTTCTTTGCATTTAAAACTTTTCCTTAACTATGCAGGTCAAAGCGCATCGCCTGTTGAAGGCCACTGACATCTGGGCCTCTACCGGACCCAGAGGAGGAGCTCAGGGCTGCGGCCCCCGAGTTGGCCGTGCTCAGCTTCGAGAGCTCTGGGTGCAGAAGACAAGCACCCTACACACACCAGCCTCGGCTCTAGGACTCACTGAAAGGACGGGGACCACCCTGCCTCCTTCCCAGGCCGGCCGTGAGCCCAGCAGAGTGAGGGAACCGTCCTAGGCTCTGGGACAGGGCATGTCAGAGAGCCCGTGTCCCCGGTGCACACGTGTGAAATAACTGAACTCCGTGTGCACGCATGTGAATGATAACTGAACGGCACAGGCTGCCAGGGAAAGGGTCAACATTTCCTTTTAGAGATTCTGGCTAAATGAGAGGATATAAAAATCTTGTTTGATTGTATGAAAGTCTATTGCTGCCATTTACATCAACTGCTAATCACTTACGTGTAACTGTCATGACAATTACCATCATGAAAATCACTACACATGTACCAGGATAATGGCTTTGTTTTCTTGGGACACAAACCGCTCGCTAATGCATCCAAGTTTCTTGCTCATGGAGTTAAGCAGATGCTCCTTTCTCGTCCACTCAAAACAACAACGAGTGGGAACACTGATCGGAGCTACATCATTATGCTCAGGAAAGGTCCCCAGGGGCAGACCAGTTACTCTGCTACAAAGCCTGAATCTGGGCTCCATTGCATTTTCCCATCACTTGCTTCATCTTTATTTGGTTGGTCCTATAATAAGAAATACCTTTTTGCAAAGCTAGTCGATATTTTTAAAATCCAAGAGGAAAAGAAAATGAAAAACTTTAATGAATTACAGGGGGAAAATGCATGAAACGATTTAAAATAGCTCCCACCAGCAAATAGAATTCTCCAGAAATAATTCCCATCCTTGGAGACTTGACTAATATTTTAAACACACTGGCGTTCCCATGTAAACACGTCCATATTTGGATGTGTTTCTGAGTTCTGCGATACTTGCCGAAGCAGCCACGCGGTTCAAGCTGGAGGGCAGCCCGCCCTCCGGGCTGTCAGATACGTGGCCCAACAATGTTTAACTGCTGAGGTGACAAGGAGCGCCCCCCGATTCTCCAGTCACCCCAGAAAGCCTGCTCTGGGATGCCTTTCTCTGCTCGTCCTGCCTGCCAGGATCAACACTTACATTCTTTTGCCTTCTCATCCATCCTCTCCCCGCCTGACACTTCTCATCCCTGCCCGCTGAAGCCGCCTCACTCTTAGCACAAACACTTCGCTCAATCGATCACTTTCTTTAGTTATTTTCTTTTCTCTTTGCATGCAACCTCACAAGGTCCTACTTAAGTTACCTATGATTTCCTGTTCTCTCCAGGCCTTAGCCCTTTCCGGAGTAAACTCTGCCGGAAGGAATGGCAGAGGCAGAAACCAGCTCTGCGTTCGGGGTCCCAGGTAAAAACCCATCGGTCTGGCTCCCTCCCAGTCCTGGGAGACTAAGGTCCCGCCGCAGTCACAGGGCCCCCAGTTTGTTTATATCTTCCCATCTCTACCCATCCTGAGCTCACCTCCCCACCTCCCCACCTCCCCTCCTCCACTTCCCCAGGGACCTGCTTCTCTAACCCACACCCGAGTCCGACACAACCGCCAGCTCTCGGCCGGATTGCCTCCACCGATTCTAAAAGATCCTACACTTTACAAGCAACAACGGTTTAGTCACCTCTGATGGCACCAGGGAACAATTATTACTAAGGCCTATCCTACTATGTGCAAGAAAATAGGCCAGCCATGCTCTCCTCGGAAGGAACAGACCATTTAGGCTTTAAATTGTCTAAAAAGAACCCAGAAAAGCTTGACTAAAGATTTATTTGCCTGTTTCAAGACCAAACACGTAGTCCTTCCCGTTTGTGGACAGGAGTCGACCCGGAGTGCTGAGTGGCATACAAATGGACAGTCAGAGCCATTGTTCCTACCAGATTCTAACCCCAGAGAGGCAGGCAGGCCTGTGTCTCAGCGAGCCAGACTGCTGCGTGTGCAGGCTGATGCTAGCGAGTGCTCTGCACAGGTAGCCACTGTGGCTTCCCCGCACTTCCCAGCACCGAGGGCTCCTCCGGCCAGGCACAGTGTTGCAGGTAAGACCATCATGGTGCTGACTTCAAGAAATCGACTCTGAGCACAGGAGTGACACAGGTGCCGAGAGAGCCACCTGCACGCAGGAGCTTTGGGGTGTTAGGACATGGACAGTTCTGGCGGACAGGAAGGCCAAGGATGGCCCCACAGAAATGATGACAAAGCGGAGGGGGTTGATCAGGTAGGTCAGGAGTGAGTTATGGGAGGAAGAGATGAGAACAGAATGAAACATTAGCAGAACCCAGCGTGGTCCTCACGGCTGACTTGGGGAGAATGGGGGTAGGGGGGGCAGGTCCTGGAGCTCCCGTCATTCCAGACTGGGACTGGGACACTCCCAGAGGGAGGGGGGCACGGAGGACTGTACGCAGGAGACTATGATCAGATGTGAGTTCACTCTGGAAACAGATGGCATGAGAAGGCCTTCCCCACTCCTGTCACTCCGGCTCTCTCCCCCACTTCACTCACTCTGGCCAACGGAGGCAGGACAATGGTCGACCTGGCAAAATGGGGAACTGAGTAGGCGACGCCCAGCCCCAGCCCAGCCCCTCTCCTCCTCGGGGCCTTCTCTGCTCGGCCTGCCCTTCAGTCTGACCCCACCCTCTCGTGGCACTCGGCTGGGCCAGCGCTGCGGGGCATTGGGCCTCGTTCTGGGGTTCAGTCGTAATGGGCATGGACCCACAGAGAGAATCGCATCCTCTTGTCACTAATAAAGACATTTAGCTTCATCTGTCACTTCTGGTTTTATTTCTCAGTTTGCTCAGATCCTAGGTGAGAAAAGAGGACCTTCAGGTAAATCATGTAAAACTGGATGAGAGTATATAGGCCTGGAAGTGAGGAGACCGGTTACAGAGCTAGGATGGGTCCACATGAGAATGATGAGTGTGGAAGGGAAGACAGGAAACGGAGGGCCCAGAGGTGCCGAGGGGGAGAAGCTGCCATGAGAGAGGCAGCAACCAAGCAGGTGACCTGTAAGCGCCGCTCACCCACAGGGCACACACACCTTCCCCATGCTCCTCCTCCGGAGACCACGGGCGGGGAGGGCACGCGCGAGGCAAGACGCCACAGGACAGGCAGAAGCAGGGCCGTGTCTTACCCATGTACGCGGCCGGCCAGGCCGACTGGGCCCCTCCTCCGTAGGGGTCCTGGGGCTTGGTGCTTAGAGCACTCGTGTGAAGCGCAGAATCAGAATTGGTCCTGAGGGGGAGGAGAGAGTCTGGCTGAAAATCCGTTTTTCCTTCGTGACAATGCAATAGTCTTCGCTGACCATTATCAACGGGAGAGAAGTCAGGAAGATTACTTACGATGATCCATGCAATGAGGGGTCTGGACCTACCTGAAGTCCCTTACATCAATAACAGCCGCTGAAGGTCACCCACGCCCCCCACGACTGTCACCTGTGCTCGCAGAGCTTTACACCTTGAAGCTGCTGGCACAGCTTAATGATCTATTTCATCAAGGCCCGGGGTGCATGGCTTCCTCCAGGACCTGTCCATCCTTCCTCCACTAAGGAACTCCTGTCTGAAGGCTCACCTATCGCAGCGGTTCTCGGACCCTTTCAGGGACAGTGCAAGTCGAGGGACTGGCAGTTCATACTAAAATGATCTTTGCCCCTTCGCTCGTTCTGGTGAGCACCGTGGAGGGTGACAGAAGCTGCGTGACCTGTGAAGTCACCGCAGGGTGAACGCATCGGCAGAGAACCCCGCTACTGCCAGAGATTCGTCAAAGGGATAACAATGCCACTCTTCTCAATACATTTTTTTGTTTTGGAAAATGTCATTTTGTTTCTTAAAGAAATATTTATGTTAACATGCGTGGGTTTATTATTTTTATTTTGCTACTTTCAAATTCATGACTAAATAACATTTAAAAATCTCTCATTTTAATTTCTAGTGTCAACAGACAAATCCCAATAGATACACCGACACAAACAGACACTCCGTGCTTCTAAGGTAGTAAAGGACAAAAAACTCAGGAACCGCTGATCTAGAGCATATTTCTGGAATTCCGCAGACAGCTCCAACTTCTACACAGCCTCGATGCTAGGAGATGACTGTTGTCTCATGCAGGGGCACGCTATCTGCCATAAAAAGAACTTGTGGACCTCAAATCAACCTAAAATGCTTCTCTGTGGCCTGTTCCAGGTGATGGCCTCTGTGGCCTCACTGCACGTGGCCATGTGTCCAGACCAGGGAGAGGCAGTTCAGAGCTTGCGTGTTGCAACAGGAAGAGCATGAACTCTGGGGCCAGAGGGCCCTGGGTTCAGATCCGGCTTCTTTAGAGTCACAGAGACTCAACAGAGAATATCAGATGCAGAGACAACGGGGAAATTTTGTGTTTGTCTGTTTTGAAGATCTAATTGGCTTTATTAAGTGATTCATGAAGCGGGCAGCATCCCCTCTAGCAGCTAGAGGGGGCCCCCTGGGAAAATGTGAATACAGGTTGGTATTAGATGATATTAAGGAGTTATTGTTCATTTGTTAAGTGAAATAATGAAAGTGCGGTTACATTTTGTTTGGTTTAAAAGGTTCTGACCAGCCTTATACTGTTAGATATATTTAGAGTAAAAGATTATATCTAGCCAGCTGTGAGATGGGGGTGGAAGTTACAGAAGAAATGGCAGAATGCTAAGGACTGAAGCTAAAAGATGAGCACGAGGGACTTCTTATAACTCTTTTCCCTTTTGTGTATGTTTAAAAGTTTGCACTATAAAAAGTTTTGGGTTTTTTTAAATCCCAGTTTCATCACATATTAGCTAAGTGGCCTTGGACAAGTCATTAATCTCTTAGAACAGAAAAAACAATACACACAAAACCTCATTCTTATAGGACGTTACCAGGATTGACTAAAGACTTACACAGAACAGTGACCACTGGAGCCTGGCCCGAAGGGTCCTAACAGTAGCTGACGCTTACTGAATACATGCTCCTCCCGTGTATTATCTTACTTAATCGTTATAACCATCCCTTACTGTAGGTACTATTATCTCCTTTTTCCAAATGAGAAAACTGAGCACAGAGTTAAATAACTTGTTCAAGGTCACATAGGAAGAGGCAAACCCTGTAGTCCAAGCATGTCAAACTCGCAGCCCGCGGGCCGCATGCCTTGTTTGGTCCGTTAGCCTTTGAGTTTGACATGCTTGCTGTAGTCTCACCCCAGACCTCATGTTCTTAAACTGTATTGGTCTGTACTCAGTGGACATTCAATAAATGGTAAGGGGCTTGAGGTTTGTTTTCTTAACACTTCATATAAACACGAGTATGAACAGGCTGGCTGGCTACTAGGCACTATATAAAGAGCATCAGGGCAATCAAATGGGTTGGTTTCTTCCCAAGTTATTTCTACTAGGAAGTAATGCATGTACCTGTTAAGTGCAGCTGTCAGCCTGAACTCAGGATGCTTTTCTTCCTTCCAAGGGCGCTGCTGCCTTTAAAAACCAGAATAAGATAAAAAGAAAAGGAGTTCAATCCACAAGAAGCAAAGCAGAGACTCAGACCTGGGCCTGAGAACCGCCCTTTCCGCTCGCCTGGCTGTGCAGCCTGAGGACGTCCCTGCAAAATGCTCGCGCTGCTCATCACGATGAAAATGAGGTCAGACTGAATGATCTCTCTGGCTCCTAGGATTTCTGATTTCTATGATAAAACGCCCCCCAATCCGTGAGAATGGGACTAGCTAGCTGGACATAGAGAGTTTAAAAAGGTGTGGGGCAAATAAACACCTTTGAAAACCTTTTTTCAAAATATTGTTTTATTGCTTTCAGAGACGAAGGGAGAGGGAGAGAAAGATAGAAACATCAATGATGAGAGAGAATCATTGATTGGAGCCTCCTGTACACCTGCTACTAGGGATCGAGCCCACAGCCCGGGCATGTGCCCTGACAAGGAATCAAACCGTGATCTCCTGGTTCATAGGCTGGTGCTCAACCACTGAGCCACGCTGGCCAGGCATGAATTCCTTTTGAAATAGTTCAAATCTATGATCAATTCCTCTCTAGGGCACATGAGATCTTCCTCCAGCTGTGTAAAAACTCACCCCTCATCACATACCCCGTATGTGTGTAGGGGGTGCTGTGCAAGCCTGCATGCAAAAACTGTGCATTCCATACAGATAGCCATAAAGAGAAATAAAACTGTACAGTTACTCAGTTTATGAAAATATTCATCTACTCCTAGTGCTTGGAAAGCATAAGACATTTTTTCCTTGGATGTACATTTTAAAATATCAGTTTGGAGTTTATCTTTTCATGATTTTAAAATATTGTATTTCGGCCTAAGATTCTCGAGGGTAGCTGAAAACCTTCCTGGGTCGGGTCAGCTGTTGCCCACCTTCATACAGACCTTTCCCAGGCCCTGCCTACATGATCCATACAGTAAGTGCTGGTTAGTATGTGCCAGAGAATGGACGGAGAGACCTCAGCCCAGAGAACTAAATGTTTTAACATGTTACTTCAAATGCCTCCTGAATCTGACACGATCTGAAAATGATACCATACATACAGTGGATGTAGCAGGGACTTTTTGTGTTTTTTAAAATATATTTTTATTGATATCTTTTTGTGTTTTTCAAAATATATTTTTATTGATTTCAGAGAAGGAAGAGAGAGAAATAGAAACATCAATGATGAGAATCATTGAACAGCTGCCTCCTGTACTCCCCAAACTGGGGAATGTAGCAGTTTTTCCAGTTAATTTCATGTTCTGTTACTCTCTATACTAAAGAGTACTCTTTTCTTCTTTTTTGGTATATACCCTCTGCATACCAAAATATTGCAAGAGCCTCTAAATCAAATCCACTGTGCAAATTCCCATTCGGAAGCTTCCTGAAGCTCATGTTCCTTATGTAGCTTCCTAAGCACCCTGAGGACAGGCGTTTACTTGTCCATTTCTCGAACCTTCTACCTATATATATAAAAGGCTAATATGCAAAGTGTCCCCTCAGGAGTTCAACCGGGAGTTCTATCGATCACTATGACGTGCGCTGACCACCAGGGGGTGGCGCAGAATGTGGTGGGTGACCAGCGGCAGTGGCAGGATGCTGAGGGAGCGAGGAAAGGGAGGCGGGGAGGTGGGGAGGGGGAAACCTGATCGGCCCTGATTGCCAGCCAGGCCTAGGGACCCTACCTGTGCACAAATTTCATGCACCGGGCCTCTAGTATAAGAATAGTAAGTCAGAGTGTTCTATTGGCAAATGTATTCCAAATGTGTTCTTATTTTGTTTTAAAAGTGAAGATCTACCCGTATTTAAAAGACTTGTCATTTCAGACTTTCATATCAGCCTATGATTATACATGAAAATACTTAAGTTTTATAAGAGCAAACAAGATTCTGTTTTATATTAGAAATTTCTAGAACAGCACTCAAGGTAGATAAAATAAAACGAAAGTTTCCAAAACGAACACATGCCCATCTTATCTTTAAAACAGGGTTTGCTTACCTTGGCCAACTCTCGTCCAGGGGCTGCGAGGAGTAATTGGTTCCAAAAGTGCTTCCGTCAAAGTAGGATTTTTAATTAAGGAAAAATAAACTTAACGAAAAGGTGGACCAGAAACAAGGGAATGATGGAGTTACACCTTGGAGGTCCGGGCCCTTATCTCCCCCTCTCCACCCACCAGCTCTTCCTCGGGTTCTCTTATCACTTCCCTGGAGCGTCCACGCCTAACCAGGGCCATCTTCGTGTGATTCACGTGGGCGTTTCTTGTTTTTTATGTCTGCAGGAGCTTCTGTTTTTAAGAACTCCCTCTCACCCCACCCAAACCTGGTCGGACTGTCCTTGTGCGCAGGCCTCCCTGCCCCCGGGAGGGACCCCGGCAGGTCTTCCCAGCCAGGTGCCTGACGCTCCTGGGAACAGCGAATGGTTCAGGGATGAGCTTGTGACACAAACAGGACCAAAGAGTGCCTCGAGGGGAAGAAAAAGGGGCTCCCCCCAATTGAGTGGGTGAAAGCCTGTCTACATATGACATCAGCACAGTGGTGGCACTTCACAGAGACAGTCCCAATGCTGCTGCATGAATCCCTGGGTCTTGCCTTTGGGTGACATAAGCCGATATATTTCCTTTTTCCAGTCACGGAAGATTCCTGTTACTAATAACCGTTAGCCTGTGGAGAGATGCGAACTTCCTTATGTGGTCAGGGACTCCGCTCCACAGATTCTGTTCTTCCGCGGGCCTCCCACGCCTGGAGCATGCACCAGGCGTGTGGAGAAGCCAGCACGCCCTGCACCAGGCACCCGAGTGCAGTCGAGAAATTTTGGTGAATTTAGTAACTACACCCAAAGAATAGTCTTCTAAAACATGCTTAATCGTGTCACTCTCCTGCTAAAAAACCCTCAATGATTCTAAGAGAAGCCATCATGCCCGGCCAGTGTGGCCCAATGGTTGAGTGTCAACCTATGAACCAGGAGATCATGGTTCGATTCCCAGTCAGGGCACATGCCCGGGTTATGGGCTCCATCCCCAGTGTGGGGCGTGCAGGAGGCAGCCAATCCATGATTCTCTCTCATCACTGATGTTTCTCTCTCTCTCTCCTTCTCCCTTCCTCTCTGAAATCAATAAAAAAATGTATTTTTTTAAAAAACAAAGAAGCCATCATGCTGAACTCAGGAGGAAATGGGACCCTTGGTGGAGAAGAAGGGACACCCAGGTGAGGCTGGGCCCCCAGGTGAAGTGTGGGCACTGAGCTAATGAACTAACGATGTGGTGTGCAATGTTCCTCTTGCCAGGAGAAGCGTTAGGATCACAAGTTCTACTTCCTGTGTATCGGCTTTGTCTTGTCTAGTTATCTCACTGCTGCATCTGAATTGAGTCAATAAAGCAAACAGGTTTTCCAAGAGAGACATTTCTTCAACATTAATTAGGCTTAATGATTGGAAGGACAGATTAGAAGAGACCAGAGGAGACAGAAGAGGAAACGGCGGTAAAGAAATAAGAAGGCCCGCCCGAGCCCGTTTGGCCCAGTGTCTAGAGCATCCTCAGACTGAAGGGTCCTGGGTTCAATTCCTGTTGGATGCATGTGCCTCGGTTGCAGGCTCGATCCCCACTCCATGCAGAAGGCAACCAATCAATGCCTCTCTCTCTCTAGAAAAGTATTCTCAGGTGAGGATTAAAGTGAGAGAAAGGTAAGTATCACATGATCTCACTCATATGTGGAATATAATGAACAACAGAAACTGATGAACTAAAATAGATCCAGAAACACAGAAGCATTGAACAGACCATCCAACCTCAGGGGGAAAGTGGGGAGGAAGGAGAGAGATCAACCAAAGGACTTGTATGCATGCATATAAGCAAACCCCATGGACACAGTTAGTGCGGGGGGAGAGAGGGGCATGTGAGGAAGGAGGGAGGAACAAGTGGAGAGAGGTCAATGGGGGAAAAAGGATTCGTATGTAATACTTTAAACAATAAAGAATTATAAAAAAGGCCATAACCGGTTTGCTCAGTGGATAGAGCGTCGGCCTGCGGACTGAAGGGTCCCAGGTTTGATTCCGGTCAAGGGCTTGTACCTTGGTCGCAGGCACATCCCCAGAAGGAGGTGTGCGGGAGGCAGCTGATCGATGTTTCTCTCTCATTGATGTTTCTGACTCTCTATCTCTCGCCCTTCCTCTCTGTAAAAAATCAATAAAAAATATATTAAAAAAGAATTATAAAAAATAAAAATTAAATTAAAAAAAGTGAAAAGAAAGTAATAATTAAAAAAAGAAAATAAATGAGAAGACCCTCAGAGACGGAGCCGATCAGCATTTGAATCGCCAGAACCATTAGGCAGCAGCTTCTGAATCTATAACCTGAGCTTATCTTTCTCTTTCCAGAAGCTCACCACCTCTCAGCACCTGCCACCCCTGAAGTCACTGAGTCCCCTTATCCGGTCCTGGAAATACGATTAGGCCGCAGCGGTGACAGTAACACCACGATCAACCCCGGGTTACCCCAACGTGGTGGTCCAGTCAGCATCTTAGCCTTTCTGATGCTCATGTGATGGTCTATCGTGCTTAACGGGGAGGGCACCACCCACCTGGGTGCTCCAGTTGGGAACCCGGGGGCCCCCCAAATCCGTTCTCTCCCCCGTCTCTGCCGTCCTGTAGGGGAAAGTCCCTCTACGTTCCAGCCTCAATCCATCCACAGGGGACTCCTACTCCTTCCCCCTGGGGGAGTGTCAGAGGGAAAGTTCTTACTCACTCTTCCCCAAAGGAAGGGGAGTAGCTCTTCTGTTGATAAGAGAAGACATCTGTTGGCGTTGGCACGTGGGTGGGGCCACGGAGCCACAGACGCTCCAAACGAGCTCCACCCTGCCTCTCAGCGGCCTGCCCGTGGCTGGTGCAGAGCAGCCTTCTCCCTTTGGCTTCCTGTTTCCATGTGGCGAGTGCACCTGGGCGGCTCAGGAAGTGCCGTCGGAGGCAGTGGGTGCCGTTCTCTCTCCTACCCTGACACGCTGTTCTACCAGGGGCGGGTCTGGGGCAGGCCTGGGACCTCCATGCAGCTGGTGGGATGGGAACTTGGAGTCTGTGTAATCCAACCCCCTCCCCCCACCCCACACCACTCCACTACGATGATTCCAGGGGCAGGTTTAATATATAAAACTGGTCACAACCGGGGTCCTTCCTAATTTCTCCACCCACGTGCTCACCATCACTTCCTCTTGTCCTTTTCCCGCCAACGCTGACTTGCAGGACACATCCGAGAGTCAAATCTTTTAGAGTCTTTGCCTACACGAGCCCATCGTCCTGTTTCTCTTAGCGTGCGAGTGACAAACAGGTGGCATGTCAAATATGGAAATCTGAATACTTTTCCCCTTAAATCTCTAAAAACCAGCATTTCCTTGTCCACTGAGATGAAAATCTCTAGTGAGTGTGAGGAAAAAATTGGGTTTTGTGATCAAATAAATTTTGGAAACCCTGGGCTAAAGATAAGAATTTAAAAAAAGTTTTAATTGATTTGAGAGAGAGGAAGGGATTGGGATAGAGCTAGAAACATTGATGAGAAAGAACCATCCATCGCTACCAGCCTGCAACCCACGTATATGCTGTGACCGGGAATCAAACCGGTGACCTCCTGGTTCGTGGGCTGACACTCAACCATTGAGCCACACCAGCTGGGCAAAGAGGTTTATTAACCTGTGGGTTTCTAGATCCCTCCTACTAACTGAGGAAGAGCACAGTGTTTCTCAAATTTAACAGACCACGCACTTCAAAGAAACAGTGTTCTATAAACCAACCTCCTAAAATTTTCATCTCATTGTATGAAAGAACCAAAGCAAGGCCCATCCCACAGAGGAGAGCCAGGTGTGAAGGCATCTCTTCCCGGTGTTCACACTACTTAAGATGTAGGACATTCTCAAACCTCCTTGGGAATATAAATCAGAAATGCTCTAAACATTTGCTTTACTCTCTTTCTGAAAACACATTTATTTATTTATTGCTAATCATCACTGGAGTATATTTTTCCATTGATTTTCAGGGAGAGTAGAAGAGAGGGAAAGACAGAGAGAAACATTAATGTGAGAGAAACACATCCATTGGCTGCCTCCTGCACGCGCCCCGACCAGGGCCTCGGCCAGGGAGGAGCCTGCAACCCAGATACGAGCCCTTGTCAGGAATCAAACCCGGGACCTTCTGGTCTACAGGCTGATGCTCTGTCCACTGAGCCAAACCAGCTGGGGCAGACACATCCTTTCAGAGGAAGGCAGTTTCTATAATTCATCGTGTTTCCCTTCTTTTTCAGTGTATTACCCACAGGTCTGAGATACTATTATATCTGCCGTAAATGTGTGTTAATAGTTCAGAAATTCAACAAGATGGCATCTGGGATACGCATTCGCTGCCGTGAGGACTGAGGAGTGAGGGGCTGCCAGAGACGAGCAGCTGCAGAGAGAGGAGAGCACGTGGTTCCGAGTTCTGACAACAGGTCTCGCCAGGGACCCAGCAGTGCCTCTCTCCTGCCGTGAGTGTGGCCCCGGCCGGAAGTCTGCTGGGCAGTGCCCTGGTCTTTGCTTGTAGTGCCCACCCATGCCAACAGCCGGGCTCACGCACCAGCCTCCCCTACGGGGACGGCCGCCCACCGCAGGAGGAATCTCCCTGGGCCAGAGCTCTGCTGGTGTGTCTGCCCACGCTGGGAGGAATGGGATATTTGTTAAACAATGCTCGTTTCATTTAAGATCACCGTATCAGAGCACTGAACTGCTGTCTGGGCCAGTCTGCCTGTTCTAGAATAGCACCCAGCCAAGAAACAGCTGTGACAAGAGAATTCTGAATACAATTTTCTTTTTGTCCTAACAAGGATTCAAACCAGTGTTAATACTTTCAAATGATAAAACTTCACTAAGGAGGTAATAGACAAGTGTCAAAGGCAACCGCTTTAAGCAAATACTTTTTTTTGTTAATTCTCACCAAGGATACTTTTCCCATTGATTTTTAGAGTGAGTGGAAAGGGGGAAGGAAAGGAGCGGAAGTGGAGGGGAGAGAAACATTGATGTGAGAGACATTGACTGGTTGCCTCCCACATGGGGATCAAACCTGCAACCCAAGTACGTGCCCTCGACTGGAAACCGAACTCAAGACCCTTCGGTGTGAGCAACACCGGCCAGGGCAGCAAATTCTTTCACAACCAAATGATTGCAGTCCATGAAAGGAAAGGTGGAACCACAGCCCTCTCCTTCCGGGTTCTCCTGAATGTATTAATATCTTCCGCATAAGATCATTTCACTTTTGGATTTAACTGGAGCTCATAGTCCTGCGATTCCTCAAGAGACTCACTGTTCATTAATGGGCCAGGCCCATGTTTAAAGGACATGGATAGAGCATGAGCCTGTGGACTGAAGGGTCCCAGGTTCGATTCTGGTTAAGGGCACATGCCTGGGTTGTAGGCTCGAACCCCAGTGGGGGACATGCAGGAGGCAGCCGATCAGTGATTC